TAGTAGTGACTTTGTTAAGTATAAGATTTTAATTTTTGTTTTTATTTTCTGGGTTTGTCTAAGAGATCTTTGCTCTCCTCCTATTTTTAGGAGAATTATAAAGGTATTCTCCTATTTTTAATTCTAGAGGATTTTGATTCTAGTTTTCCAGTTGTTCTAGCTTGTTTGTTGAAAGGACTCCTCTCTGTTTGAGATTATCTTGGCACTTTTGTAGAAAATTATTTGGATGTTTTCTGTCAGTTGTTACAATGATTTGTTTATTAGTACTTAGACCGCTGTGGTAAGTTTTATCAGGCAAGGTCATTTCTCCACTTTTGTTTTTCTTAAAGATTGCTTTTCTTATTCTAGATTCTTTGTATTGCCATATAAATTTTAGAATCACTTTTTCAGTTTTATAAAAAAGCATGCTGATATATTTGTGGTACTGAGGTTTGAACCCAGAGCTTCTTGCTTATTAGCCAGGCACGCCTCCAGTCCTTGCTAATGTTTTGTTTGAGGTTGAGTTGAATGTATAACAAATACTTCTATGATAGAACAAGTAAAGTTTATTGAGCTACTAGCCTGGTAACCTTAAGTTTTTTTTAATTAATACATTTTTTTTTAACGTTTTGAGTTCATAGCAAAATTGAGTAGAAAGTACAGAGTTCTCATACACCTCCTGTTCCTACACACCACAGGCAACATCTAGCACCAGAATGAGCCTTTATTATACCATTATTTATAGAGACATTATTTATAGAGACATTAAATAAGTGATTACTTAATAATAATTATGTCACTATAATTTTGATAGGTGCTAAAAAGTTTTACAGTACTGGGGTTTGAACTCAGGACACCTTGAGCCACTTCATCAGCCCTTTTTTTTTTTGAGATAGGGTCTGCCCAGGCTGGCTTCAACCATGATCCTCCTGATCTCTGCCTCCTGAGTAGCTAGGATTATAGGCGTGAGCCACCAGCACCGGCTAAAAAGTGTAACTTTTTTCAAATGAGACTGGCCTCATCTGGAGGGTTAAAGAAATCTGCAGGTTAGAAATGATATTTCACATGAGCTCTGAAGAATAAATAGAAATGAGCCAGGCAATGGGAATGAAGAATTTCACAGGAGGAGGAAAAACATTTGAAAATCCTGAAGTAGAGTATAATTGACTCTCTCTAGGAACTAAAAGAAAGCTAGCGTAAATGTAGCTGAACATATTTTAAAAAATAACACAAAATTAACAAGGCTAAGGCATCCCTAAAATTGAATCCAGACAAACAGTGCACCCAGTTGAACTTGACATGATCTCTTAATGAAAATGGAAACATAATGAGTGTCAAAGTTCATGGGACACAACTAAAGCCAGCATGTCACAGGGAATTAACAGCTTTGTACGATCATATTAGAAAAGAATAGGAGTTTAAAACCAGTGACCCAAGCTTCTAACCCTAGGTTAAATTGTTAAGAGTAAAATTTTAATTAGCTCAAAGTAAGTGGGAGGAAAGAAATATAAAGAGCAGATGGCATCTGATAGAGAAAAACTCCAAAATAATTGGTTCTATGAAAAGGCCAACCTAACTAAGGTACATGTGGGCCTTTACTTGGGCCCAAACTCCTGCAATGGCAAATTCTTTTTATATTTTTTAATTCACACCAGAAGACTTTTTTCCAGGATGTGACTATATTTTATATTTACGTTGTACTAAATTTTAATTGTGAATATTTCAGACATATAAAACATGCAGAAAATAATATAATAGACATCTATGTACCCATCAGTCACTAATTTTAATTATAGTTAATTTTGTATCAAAAAAGGACAAAATCTCTACCTAGACTGATGAAAAAAGGTGTAGACACAATTTAGCAGTATTGGGATTAAAAGATCAGACAGTACTGTGGATTCTACGGTCATGAAAAGGATGACAGAGGAATATTATGGATGATTTTATGCCAGCAAGTGACAACTTAGATCATGTATTTAGAAAGGTGTTTAGAAGTTTTCAATTGCTGTGACAATATACTTAAGATCAACAACTTAGAAGGAAGAAAGGTTTATTTTGGCTCACAGTTTCACAGGGTTTGGTCCATGGTCACTTGGCCCTGTCACTTTGTACTTGAGGTGAGGCAGAGCATCATGGCAGAGAGCAGGTAGTAGCAAAGATGTTCACTTCATGGAAGGCAGGCAGGAAGGGAGGGGCCTGGGACAAAATACATCCTCAAGGAAATGCCCCCAGTGACTTACTTCCTTCAACTAGGTTCCATCTCCTAAAGTTAGCACCACTTTCTAAGTCCGTTTGAGGCAGGCTAAATTAGGGACTCAGAAAAAAAAAAATTACATCTTAGACTAACCATGCTTTGGCTTAGGAACCACCCTCACCTGTCTGGGAACTGCCTATGCCCCTCCCTAATCATTAATTATTAGATGGGAATCTACTGGTTCTCCCTTTCCCATAGGTTATCACAGGTTTTAAAAGCACCTGAAGAGCAGAAACACACTCTGTCAGCTTCCGGCTTCCACCTGGGTCTCACCATGCTTCCCTTTGTAGTCCCCTTCCCTAACTTTTAATAAACTTCATTATTCTCACGTATCCTACCATGGATTCTTCCATGTGGGACAAGAATTTATTTATTTTAATTTTAATTTTTATTTTATTCATATGTTTGGGTCATTTCTCCCCCCCTTCCCCCTCCACTTACATCCCCCCCCCTCCGCCTGGGACAAGAATTTAGATTACATACCGAACCAGTGCCATTAACACATCCAGTCATGATCCATAAGATTAATCCAATTATAAGGCCCAACCCTCATGGCCCAGTCACCTTCCAAAGGTCCTACCTTTGTGAACACTGTTACATTGGGATCAGGCCTTTAACACATGGGCTTTTGAGGGAACATTTAAGATCCAAACTGTAACGGAAGGTAATATCATCCTCCAGGAGAAAAAGCAGGGTCTTGGGAGGTAAGATTTATTGACCATCCCAGTGTTACAGACCTTTGATGGAAACAGTGGGGCCAGTGGTTTTTTTAATTGGACCTAAACTCTTAAGATTTTGTAGACTCAGGGAACTACATGAAATCAGAATCATCTCCTAGTACCCCACCCTAGATAGTCCTTCTTAATGCTTTCATTCATTTAGCATATATTTATTGTGTTCCCTTTATGTTCACTGAATAAGGGGCTAGGGATATATTGGTATGTATTGATGTATCAGTTTCATTTTTAGCCAGTGTGATATTTTTTTTAAATTCTGAGTTTAGTTTCCTGAGGATTTTTTTTTTTTTTTTTTTTTTGTAAAAGCATTACTGACATTTGAAATCATGGTCTCCTGCTTTCTAGGCAGGTACTTTACCACATGAGCCACTCCTCCAATTTTCTTAGTTCTTTTGGTATGACTCTAATAGTATCTGATAGATTCCTTGTTCACAGCTATGACAGATGTTTTAGTTGGAGCCAGCCATTTCTCCAGTGTACTAAAGTTGCTTTTAATAGAAAATGGTATTTGGAGCTCATGTTCTGGTTAGTAAGGAACGTGTTTTCCTTTTTTTGGTGGAACTGGGGTTTGAACTCAGGGCTTTGTGCTTGCAAAGCAGGTGCTCTATAGCACTTGAGCCATGCCTTTAGTTCATTTTGCTCTGGATATTTTGGAGATGGGGGTCTTACAAACTATTTGTTCAGGCTGGCCTCCAACCACTATCATGCTGATCTCAGCCTCCCAATCAGCCTCCAGATAGCTAGGATTATAGGTGTAAATTATTGGCACCCTGCTGGTTTTACTTTTTTCCTTGCTAAAATAGCCATGCTAGTCTTTTTTTTTTTTTTTTTTATTCATATGTGCATACAAGGCTTGGGTCATTTCTCCCCCCTGCCCCCACCCCCTCCCTTACCACCCACTCCGCCCCCTCCCTCTCCCCCCACCCCCTCAATACCCAGCAGAAACTATTTTGCCCTTATCTCTAATTTTGTTGAAGAGAGAGTATAAGCAATAATAGGAAGGAACAAGGGTTTTTGCTAGTTGAGATAAGGATTGCTATACAGGGAGTTGACTCACATTAATTTCCTGTGCATGTGTGTTACCTTCTAGGTTAATTCTTCTTGAGCTAACCTTTTCTCTAGTTCCTGGTCCCCTTTTCCTGTTTGCCTCAGTTGCGTTTAAGGTATCTGCCTTAGTTTCTCTGCGTTAAGGGCAACAAATGCCAACTAATTTTTTAGGTGTCTTACCTATCCTCACCCCTCCCTTCTGTGCTCTCGCTTTTATCATGTGCTCAAAGTCCAATCCCATTGTTGTGTTTGCCGTTGATCTAATGTCCACATATGAGGAAGAACATACGATTTTTGGTCTTTTGGGCCAGGCTAACCTCACTCAGAATGATGTTCTCCAGTTCCATCCATTTACCAGCGAACGATAACATTTCGTTCTTCAAGCCATGCTAGTCTTGAACTCACAATCCTTCTACCTTAATCTTCTGAGTACTGGGATTATAGGCACATACCACTTTGTAGTTTTTGGTTTTGAGACAGAGTCTCTCTGTTACCTTTGGGAGCTGGCTTTCAGAAGATCCTCTTGCCTCTGCCTCCCATGTAACTGGAGTTACAAGCGTGTACCACCACACCTGACTCAGAAGATTCTGAAGAACAAAATTATTCTGGTTAAATGCTGAGCGTAAAGTAGTATGGTGTTTAGCAAAAAGCTCTAGAGTGTTTTCATTATTTATTCACCCATCAAATATTTATCTACCATGTGCCAGGCATTCTTTTGTGCTTGAGATCCAATTAACAATACAGGCAAAACTAGCCTTCATGAGAGCTTCTGCTCTGTTAATGCAGCGTTCCTATCAGAACTGCTGCTAATAATCCTGACTGCTGCCTTACCTCTTGGCTTTCCTCATTTATTAGATGATAAAATTGTACTAAATGGTCTGTAGTTTCTTTAGTTAACAATTCTGTTTTTTTTTTTCTTTTGTCTTCATGCTAATTTCACTGTTTGTGGTGTCCTTCCCCTCCCCTCTATCCTCTTACAGAGATGACAGAAGAAGAACAGTTTGCTTTGGCTCTCAAAATGAGTGAACAGGAAGCCAGAGAAGTGAACAGCCAGGAGGAAGAAGAAGAGGAGCTCTTGAGGAAAGCCATTGCTGAAAGTCTGAATGTAAATACACTATATTGAAAAAGTTCATGGGATTTACCAGCAATGTTCTGTGACTTATATAGTGTTACAGTTCCAGTAGGAACTAGCTGTGATAATTTGTAGGGTTTACAGCTAACAGATACTTCCTGTAATAAGTCTACCCTGAATTGTTGGTTAATTCAATTTGTTTTGTCAATACATGAAATAGTTTTCTTCCACCCCACAGATTTTTCAGCCCATGGATTAAAAGAGCCATAGTTAGGTGGCAACTTCTGAAATGAGTTACAGAGTATGGACAGTCCCAAAGGCAACAGGATCAGGTGTTTATTTCCCCTGTTTGTGGGGAGAACAAAGGAAATGAGATAAAGAATGGACAGTTTCTAAAAGAATCAAAGAATATTAAATTGTGATTTGAGCATGTGTTATTGAAACTATTTTAAGTGCTAAGGATATTTTCTAGTAGCAAGTTCTCAGTCATCCCTGATTCTGTTTTTTTGTTTGTTTGTTTTTGAGATGGGGAAGTCTCACAGTATTGCCTAGACTGGCCTTGAACTTATGGGTTCAAGCAGTCCTCTCACCTCAGTCTCCTAATAGTTGGGACTATAGGCATGAACCACCATGCCCAACCTGAGCCCTTTATGCCATATTAGAAATGGTGTAGTGTAGTGACGTACTACAGCACTTTGCACAAAAGTGTGCAGTATGTACTTATGGAATTCATTTGAATTGAGCATCTACATTTTGGAGAGGAGAAATTTCTAGAGACAGTGGCCTCCCCTTTTTGTCCTTCCTGTGACTCTTCATATGTAGCTATTTTAATAATAAACCTGGTCTGGTGTGGGATCGCTTGTTTCAGAGTTGCTGGCCTTCTGATGTTTCTGCTACCAGATTTCGACCTCTGGCCACTGGACCATCTTCACATTCCTACCAAGAGAAAACCACAGACTCTGGGACTGGGACTACTGAAGGCATGTCTCCCTGTTCTGACTCCTTCCACTCACCAGTTATATAACCAAATTACAGGGATCTCATGCTAGAGTAGATATACAGAAATGCCCAAATTCCTTTTGGTGATGTTAAAGAGGTTCAAACAGAAAGTAGTTGAGATTTCACTAATACCCAACGTTCTTTTATTGCCAAGGAAAAAACAACCTTTGGTTAAACTCAAGGGAATTCCTTAACCACATTTTATAATTCTTGGTAAGCAATAGCTTACCAAGCCCACTTAATAAAAAAAGATTGTCCTTAGCCCTACTTTTTCTCAAATACCTACAGGCATATGGCAGCTGGTACCTCCATCACTGTTTAAAGGCTCACATATCAGTCAGGGAAACGAGGCTGAGGAAAGAAAGGAGCCTTGGGACCACACTGAAAACACTGAAGAGGAGCCGGTCTCTGACAGCTCAGGAAGCTGGGACCAGTCAAGCCAGCCAGTGTTTGAGAATGAGAACGTTAAATGTTTTGACAGATGTACTGGCCACTTGGCTGAGCACACACAGTGTGGGAAGCCACAGGAAAGTACTGGGAGGGGTTGTGCTTTTCTCCAAGCTTCCCAGGGCAGGGGGAACACATCCAGCCACTGTCTGCCTACCCCAGCAGCTGCCAAAGGTCTCCAGGACATTGGAAGCACTGTGCACTACTTCTGGGGTATTCCATTCTGCCCTGCCGGAGTAGACCCTAACCAGTACACCAAGGTCATTCTCTGCCAGTTGGAGGTTTATCAAAAGAGCCTAAAGATGGCCCAGAGGCAGCTCTTTAAAAAAAAAGGGTTTGGGGAACCAGTGTTACCTAGCCCTCCTTCTCTGATCCAGAATGAATGTGGCCAAGGAGATCAGGCTAGTGAAAAAAATGAAGGCATCTCAGAAGATATGGGAGATGAAGACAAAGAGGAGAGGCAGGAGTCTAGGGCATCTGTCTGGCACTCAAAAACCAAGGATTTCCAAGAAAGCCCAATTAAAAGCTTGAAACAGAAACTTTTGTTGGAGGAAGAACCAACAACCAGTCATGGTCAGGTAAGGGTCAGTGATGCTATAATTAAGGATGATTTATTCACAGATTAAACAAGGATTATTTTAGTTTTTTGTTCTTTTTGTGGGTTCCCCCCTCTGATTATTAAAGTAAAATACGCTCACTATAGAAAATTAGGAAAGAACAGAAGAGTATAAAGAAGAAGAGAAGCTTGATGTAGTGGCACACACCGGTTACCCCATCACTTTGGAGGTTGAAGCTGGACGATTGCTGATTTGAGGCCAACCTGGACTATAGTGATACTCTGTCTCAAAGAAAAAAAATTATCTATAATTCCATTACCAAGAGGTAGTCATCATCATTTCTATGCTTATAAAAATATCTTTTTTCTTTTTAATTTTTGAACAAAAAGACTCCTCTGTACAGATTTTGTTTCCCCCACTTTATAGTTTATTCTAGGTGTTTATTAAGTGTACTTGAAACATGGACATACCATAGTTTAGTTTTTGTTCTTCAGATCGTTATTTCTAAAAAGCTTTTGAATAGGGAGTAATGTTCACATGATTCAAAATTCAGGAAGATATAAATTAAAATTTCTGTCTCCTATCTATACCCTTCAGCTAACCATTTCCTCTCTGGACTCAGTCTGTGTCACTATTTCTGGTATATCCTGTCCTTTCAAGATATTTTATGTAGTACAAGCAGTATACACAGTCTGTTCTCCTTTTTTTTCATACAGATGATAGCATGCTATGCACATGATTCTGCCCTTGCCCTGTTCATTTAGTGTCTGAGATATTCCATTACAATACATTAAAAAAGAATTTCTGGGCTGGAGGAGTGGCTCAAGTGCTAGAGCGCCTGCCTAGAAGTGTTAAGTTCTGAGTTCGAACTCCAGTACCACAAAAAAAAAAAGAATTTCTTAATTAGTTTTTTTTTTTTTCATGTGGAATATACTAAGTTAAATGAGTCATAGTTTATTTTATCCTATGGCCTGTAGATAAACATGTAGGTTCTTTCTCATGTTTTCCTATTACAAGCAGTACTGCAGTAATTACTCTTATTTTTGATGGTACTGGGGGGTTGAACGCAGGGCCTTGTGCTCTACCATTTGAGCTATACTCCCAACTGCAGAGATTACTCTTGAACAGAGGCTGTTTCATCCACATGGGAGAGATTTGTAGGCTAATTTCATATAGATACAGTTGGTGGATCAAAGTATGTCTGCAAATTGCCCTCCATAAGGTTGTGTACATTTGAATTACCAGCAAAGTATGAGTACGGTTTCCTCAAACCCATTCCAACACGGTGTTTTCAAACTTTTCTTTTTTCCCCTTAATACTGGGGTTTGAACTCAGGGCTTGCTCGGCATTTGAGCTATGCTTCCAGTGCTCAGACTTCTTGATTTTTGCCAATATGGGAGATGAAAAATGGTATCTCAATGTAGTCTTAATTTGTATTTCTCTTATTTGTGAGGTTGAACTTTTTTTCCTCACATGTCTAAGACCCATTTACATTTCTTCTGTTTAGGCTTTGTGCTTTTTTTTAGTGATTTCTAGGCACCCTTTATTTACTAGGGAAGGTGGTCCTTTCGTATGAAGTGCAGATAGTTTCACAGTTTAGCCCTCCTCCTATAATGATATGTTTCTGATTTTTCTTGTGGTGGTTTTCTCTGATTTATTGAAACCAATTTCCATTTTGAGCCATTTAGATTGCTTTTTCAGTCTTTTTCTGACATGGCTAGATTGTATTATACATGAAAGCTTGTATCTCCCAATCCCCTTCTGAATATCATAAAAGTATCTTAGAGTTGTCAATTATAATTTTGAAAATGTCTTATTTTATGACTGTATGTTTTTTGTTATATCTGTTGCTTGAGTTTGAGTTTTTGCTTTTGTTTTATTGTTACCCTATTTTGGTTTCTCTTAGATAAAGAGTTAAGAAATGGTAGCTCTGAAAAGCCTCATAGCATAGCATAGAGAGTTTGAATTTTGGCTTTTGTGTTTTAATAATTGTATATCTTTGAGCAAGCTGTTTAACTTCGCTGAATCTCAATTTTACATCTATAAGATGAGAATAGCAACTTATCATTCAGTAGTTGTTTTAATGGTTAAAGTGAATTTGTATTAAAAAAACCAAAAACTAATATAATGCTCAGGTGATTATAAGCACTCAGAAATGATAGTTTTTTTCCCAAAGTCATTCATAAGGGTGCCTATGGGGATCATTCTTCCCAATCATCTACATTCCAGAAAGATTATTATAAGGAAAGAGAAGGCATTTTTCCTAACAGTTCTAGTTCTTCTAAAGGAATAGTAATTGATGTTTATGGTAACATGTTTTGTTTGTTCTTTACAATTCAAAGGTGCTTATTAAAAGAAGAAGGGTGACAGTGATTCAATGTAATTAAAGTTGTTAGCTTGAAACAGCCCAGTGGCCAGAGTTGTAGAGCACTGATTTGTGTTAAAGTTCTATGTTATGTCAAGTTTCAAAGCAATGCCTTTTGGACACATCTGAGGTGATCACAATCTAGTGGCTGGTCTTATTAGATTGAAGCTCTCTAACTTCATGAACAGGCTACAAAATACTGTGAGAAGTATTGTTGGTTGATACTATTTTGCCTGCAACAAACCAAGTCAAGCTAGTGTAATTAAAAAGAGGACTTTATTATCATAAATAGCTTGTATTTCATAAATTTTAAAGCATACTGTAATTAGGCCTGAAAAAGTATTGGGTCTAACATATCAACTGTAATCTCTCTGTATTTTGTTGGCATATTGTCTCTGGTTCATTTTTCTGCCTGTAGACTGGCTTCCCTTCCTATAGCTCCTACACTTAGTTACAGGTTACAGAGGACATATTCTCTCCCCCTTGAAATGTCAAATTTCCAGGAAAAATTTGGGGTTACTAGCCCTTACCAGCTCATTTTGGTTGTGACCTGAAGGGGAAATGTGTCAAATTATATAAACACCCACTGGTAATGGGAAGAGAGGTCTCATTGCAAGGAGACCAGTCAGACAACCCTAGTGAGTAGCAATAGCCAGTGTAGGCATTAACATAAATTTTAGAAATCACTTAGAAATATTGAAAAATTTTGCAAAGTTTAAAAAGTAAAAGTTAAGAAGCATCCACAATCCTACCATACAGTGGTGTGTCCCTTCACCTTTTTTCCTTTATTGTTTGTATGGGTCAGATCATACTAGTGTTTTATTTATGTATTTGTTTATTTGTTTTCCCCCAATGCCTGGGGATCAAACCCAGAACTACTTGCAAGCTAAGCAAGAGCTCTACTACTGAGCTACATCCCCAGTACTCATAACAGTATATTACTATATTTTTAACTTTATATAATCATCTCATGTTAAAATTACCTATAGATTTCACTTTTAATGACATTGTGGCTTATGAACTTAGCATAATATTTTTAAAGCATTTTCCTGTTGCTTGGCATATTGGTTGTGATCAATGAAACTTTTTTATTTGAAATCCATGTCCTTAGGAACAGAGCCATAAAAATGCTAAATTGAAGAGTTATGAACATAAAGACTTACCATATTGCTTTTCAGAAAGACTGTTCAAATTTGTACTCCCTCTGTCTAGCAATGTGTCGTTCACTACAGCCTTGCCAGCACAGAATAGTACCTTTAGAAAACAAAACAGGCCAGGCACCAGTATGTCATGCCTATAATCCTAGCTACTCGAGAGGCTAAGATTGGGAGGATCACAGTTCCGGGCTAGCCCAGGCAAAAAAATTCATAAGACTGCATCTCAAAAGAAAAAACTATGTGTGGTAGCATATACCTGTCATTCCCAGCCACTGTAGACTGGACAATCACAGTCCAGGCAAGCCCAGGTAAAAAGCAAGACTTAGTCTCCAAAATAACCAGAGCAAAAAAGGCTAGTCATGTGGATCATGTGGTAGAGTACCTGCCTACAATCATGAGGCCCTGAGTTTAAACCCTAGTTCCACCAAACTCACAAACAAATAGAAACAAACTTACTGATTTTATAGACAAATAATGTAGGTCTTATGGTTGCACTTTTGCTTCTCATCTTGATCCTTTGCTATCAGGAACTGTGGGTAGAAAGAATGTGTTTATTAAGCATTTTCTGTTGTACATGGCTTTGGTGCTGCTGCCCATGTTTAAGACTCTAGTTGATAGAGTCTCAGAAATTGGGATTCAGAAAAAAAACATTGAACTTGGAGGAAATGGTTTAGTCTGAGGTGGTTTTCAAAGCTTTAGAATCAGATGGTAACTTGTTTCTGGTATCACTGAGACAAGGAAGGAAGACTGAGAGGTTACCTTGATAGTGTTATGTCAGGAAATTGTTGGGAGGAGGGGTCTTTCTTTTCAGAGCCTAATCCCTAACTTGCTTCCCAGAAGTGACCAGATTGTGTGAAGTTGTGACAACTGACTTTTACTAGCCAAACTTCAAGCTGATACAAATACTCCAAATGACAGTTTGTTAATTATGAAGTAGGGATACTTTCAGTGGCCAGAATACTCATACCCACTACTTACTGTACTTCTTTCTAGTATGAGTGTATCTAGAAATCTGTGGTAGTAATCAGAAAATGTTAAATAGTCTATGGAAAGGTCTGAGAAGTGATCTTTGCCTCACAACAGAGACCATTTCTGTGGTGACAGTTAACTCTCATTCCTAAACCATAGTGTGGAAAACACTACTTGAGTGTAGACCTTTAGGTTTTTCTTTCTTTTCTTTCTTTTTTCTTTTTCTTTTTTTTTTTTTTTTTTTGGTGGTAGTAGGGTTTGAATGCAAGTCTTTGGTGTTCTACCACTTCAACCACCATGTCACCAGCCCTTTTTGCTTTGTTTTTCAGATAGGATCTTGTGCTTTTGCCCAGGGCAAGAGTGAGACCATGATCCTCCTACACTCTGCCTCCCAAGTAGCTGGAATTACAGTTGTGTACCACCATGTCCAGCTTGTCTTTTGAGATAGGGTTTCACTTATTATTTTGCTTGGGCTTTGAACCACTACCCTCCTATCTCTGCCTCCTCAACAGCTGGGATTGTGCATATGTACCACCATATCTAGCTTTAGATGTTTCTTGTTTACGTTGGATACAAACTATCCCTTTTTTATTAACATGTTTCTTTAGACACAGTGCAATGTCCTGATTTGGCCACAGCTTCCTTAAAATTTCCTCCTTGTCATAAACTTTCCTGTTTACTTTATTTAGATGTAGGTAGTCTAATCAGATTTTATTTGCATGTTCTGCTGTCTTATTTTCACATTCTGGAAGAACCTTCCTTAGAAATGAATGTAATATATTGGCTTGTAGCCACTCCTATTGAAGTGGTTGGAAGTGCGTCATCTGTGTGGACAGTATACAATAGTGGTTCAGTGTGGACTGGCGTCAGGCACGTCTCGGCTCTACTTTTTGTTTTATTCACATGTGCATACATTATTTGGGTCATTTCTCCCCCCTGCCTCCCTCCCCCACCCTCTCCCCTCTTCCCTCTCAGTTCCAGGCAGGTCATTTTCTGCCTTTATCACTAGTTTTGTTGAAGAAAAGAGATAAGCCTAATAAGGAAGACAAAGTGTTTTTGCTAGTTGAGTTGAGGACAGCTATACAGAAATATTCCTAGCATTGCTTTCATGTACATGTGTTATGACCCATGTTGATTCATCTCTAATTTATCTTTACCCTGGTTACTGATCCCGTTCTCATGATAACCTCTGTTGCTTTAAGGTTTCTGTATTAGTTCCTCTGGAGTGTCGGCTCTACTTTTGATAACTGTGATTTGCAGCAGATTGTTTCCCTTGTGAAGTTTCACTTTACTCATTTCTAAAATAATTTAATACTTTTTGTTTTATGAGGTTCTTGTGAAGATGAGAGGAGATAATGCATGTAAAGTGATTGGCAGAGGTCTGGCACTTACAAGCGCACAATTAGTTTTGTACAGTTACACTGGAAGAGTCTGAGATGGGCTTTAGCCTAAGGTAGAGGTGCTGGGATGAGTGCCTTGATTGCCTTTTAAGTCCAAAGGCTAGTGATTTTAGATCAGCAAAGTTCTATCTCATAAGTGGACACTAGGTGTCAGTGTTTACTTTTTTTTTTTTTTTTTAAGATTTTAAAAAAACTCACTGCTGAGTTCAGTCAGGTGCAGTATTTATTCTTTTGTATTTTAGTACCTTTGATTATTTTGTTCAATTAATTTTTCATAATGAATACATTTCCAGTCATTGTATAACTTTACCTTTCTTTTGACAGTAGACTGAAACAGCTATTCCTATTTTTTTAAAGTATATTTCAACATTTACCTGATTGGTAGAGAGCTGCCTAACTTGTTTAAGGTGTTTATACCCTGTTAGGAAACCCTGGAAACTTTAGCCAGTAGCTTTCTATCTCCTGGAGGAAGCATTTAGCCAACGCTTTGTCAGAAGCTGACTTAAGGCAGCAGTGGCTGCTTTCTCTATGCTCTTCTCTGCATCTGTGTTTAATGGGCTGACATTTACACTAATTCTCTTATGAATCAGTGGAAATAATCTTTTTTTTTTTTTTTGGTAGCACTTTTTTTAAATTCAGGGCCTTAATGCTTGCTAGGCAGGCACTCAACCAGTTGAGCCACTCTGCCAGCCTGTTTTGTGTTGGATATTTTGGAGACAGTGTCTCCTGAACTATTGGCCTGGGCTGGCTTCAAACCACTATCCTCTTGATCTCTGCCTCAGTAGCTAGAATTGTAGATGTGAGCCACCAACCACCAACTTATTGCATTTCTTTAAAGGTGTCCCTGGGATAGCAAAACCAGAGAGGCAAATCTGTAGCAAAAAGAGACGTTTCCTTTAGGATATCCCGTGTTCTAGTTGTGCTCAGAGAGACTTCTTTCATGGATTGTGGTCTTTTTTCCCAAATGAGTATTTCTGTTGAAAACTGGACTTTTCTCTATATTTTCTGCTTCTATAACAAAAGCTTTGTAACAGTTTACTAATTTGACTTAGCAGTTAATATTTATACTGGTTTTGCATTTACAAAGTACATTGCATAGATTATCTTGCTTAATTCTCACAGTAATTTTTCTGTGAAAAAATTGTTAATGCTTATTTTAAGATGATGAAAGATATTCAGATGTGACTTATCTAAGATTACAAATGTAGTAGGTGTTTGGATCACCTACTCCTCGATTTTCTTTTTTCTTTTTTTCTTTTTTTTTTTTTTTTGAGACAGAGTCTCATTAGGTAGCCCAGCCTTGATTAAACTCACTATGTAGTCTAGCTTGACCTTGAACTTGAGATTCTCCTGCCTTAGTCTCCTGAGTGTTGGGATTTCAGGCATGTGCCATGAGATCAGGCTCTAGATCTGATTTCAGTGCAGTCTTCTGACACCACAGGGTGTGCTTCTTCTACTGAGTCTTATGGACTTATGCAGATGTCTTATTCTTACTTCTAAGCACTGAGTGTAACATTGAACAATTTTATTTTTTTTTTAAAGAAACAAACTAGTTCATCTGTGCCTGTGTATTTAAGATGTTTCATATTTCTTTGCAGTCTTCTCAAGGGCTATTTGTTGAAGAAACTTCTGAAGAAGGAAACTCTGTACCTGCCTCACAAAGGTTAGATTATTTGTTGGTGTGGGTTTCAAGCTTCTCTGATGGTACTAGCATAAGAAAGCTGAGCTGTGCGAGACAACATGGACAACTTGCCCGGGAAACAGCAGCTCTTTTGTAAGCATAGTTCAGAGAACCCATTGTCTCCAACTTCTCAAATGTGCATCTTTTAGAATCCTAGAATAGTAGGGCTGGAAGAGACTTTGTCCACTCTAGTCCTCTTGGCAGAAATCCTATATACATTAATTCTGAAAAGTGGTCATTTCCTTCTATTAGCTTTCTGTCATTTTGAAGTTCCTAGACTGATTTCTTTGTGGTCCTTCTATTCTTCCTGTGCCCTTGCTCCCTTTGTTTTCTCTGCTTGTGCTCATTTTACATGCATTTACCAACCTTATGCATCTTTTAAGTCTTCCCTTGGCAGCTTTCATATTATGCAGGCCACATGGATCCTGTGCCATTTGCACTCTTTCCTGTGCCACTATGATATGTGTTAGTCTGTCATCTTTTCTCTAAGTGGGTATACTCTGCATTACCTTTTCTATTATTCATGTTGATTGGTTGGTAGAGTTTACCTTTTCATTATGGAGACTAGTTGATTGCTTATAAACTGCACTATAACTGGATCAGGTTTCCAACCACTTTTCCCCTTTGTGTGCTAGTTGAGTTTTGGGGAGTTCTCAAGAGCTTAATTTCATAGTGACTGTCCTCTCCTATGTGGAAGCTAAGGCCCAGTTGTCATTTGTGGTAATTTAGCTGTTATTAAGTTTTGGCGGATAGTATTGGGTATCTCTTCCTGGGATGAAGAATACAGCTTTGGTTTGATTCTCCTGCTGTTAAGACAGTTATTTTTAAACTTGAGTAGGTCTTTTGCTCCCTGTAGGCGTCTCTGTGTTACTGTGGTGAGACTATGCAGAGCAAGTGTAGGTTTTTTTTTTTTTAATTAATTATTTTTTTTTTTGGGTGGTACTGGTTTGAACTCAGGGCTTCCCACTTGCTAGGCAGGTGCTGTACTGCTTGAGCCATGCCTCCAGCCCCAGATGGAGGTTTTAATAAATGATTATATGCTTTGTCACCAGGAGATAGTTGAAATTACAGGCAGTGTGATTTGACTTTAAATTGATTAGCCCATTTTATAAATGTCAGCAGATTGTTTTGTGATGGACCCTTTGAATAAAGCCCTAATGTTACAGGCAGAGTAAACTGTGTCTGGCTTGGCTTTAGAACAAATGTTATGAGTTGTTTTATTTAGAGAGAGAAATCACTTGTGGTTTCCTGTCAGGATTTGGTTACTTATCATGAGTCAGTGGTGGCTATTCTCTTTTCTCTGTGGTTCTTGGTTGATGTGAGGGTTTGTGTTTTTCTATGTCTTCTTGCATACTTGATCAAACTAATCACAAAGCTTTCTGAAGCTTGAAGGGGCTAGTTGTGATGCTCAGATCTCTCAGCCATGTGTTCCTGTGTCAGGAAGAGATCACACTCCATGAACAGGCAAGGAAAACCAGAAGGTTGGGTGAGGGAAACCATTCATAATTAAGTTTTTCTTGGAAGAGATTTTCAACTTCTGTGGGCAGCTTTTTGCTATAGGACAGTTTGGATTTGTGTTTTTTTGTTGTTGTTGTTGCCTGGAAAGCTACGTCTTGAGATAAAGAGGAAATTTAACTACAGGGTGAGGGAAAAGCTAGTGTGCTGTCAGGAGAATCACCATGTCTTTTCTTCTGAGTTTATATGTCTCTGTCCTTCAGAAGGCTGAGGTGGAGACGGTAGAACACCTTTGACATTTTTATATTAGAGTGGAGTTCTGTCTTCTGTGATGTTCACAGATAGTTCTTACCCTTTAGCCTTCCTTTGTGGAGACTCTGAAAGGGGGTTTCTTTTCATTCAGTGATTTCACTGGAACCAAAGTTGTAAGCATGTTTATTTTCTCTGTTTCTGGTCTGGAGTTTGTACTGCTGAGTCCTTACTTCCCTGTTGTGCATTTGTGGTATTGGACAGCAGGTATCATATTACCTGTGGCTTTCTGTGAATGTCTCACCATTGCTTTGGCCCCCGTTCTGATTTATTTTACTGGGAATTCACTTGAGGTTTGGTTCTTTTTTAGAATTGCTGCTTTGACCAGTAAGAGAAGCTTAGTCCTTATGCCAGAGAGTTCTGCAGAAGAAATCACTGTTTGTCCTGGTAAGCACCCCTCTATAATTTTACTGGATTTCTGATACTTGGCTAGCTACTGTTTCATTCCTATTCTTTCTCTCTCTTTTTTTTAATTGTTCAAATCATTCTCAGAGGGTTTATGTGTGATGATGTGTTTATGTGTTTCCACATACACACACACATCTACACGTACATCTACGTATATGCTGACAGTGCCTCTGATTTTCAACCTTTTTCTCTTAGGAGTGATTTAATTTTGAAATTAACATGTTTCTTTTGCCTGCTTGTTTGTTTATCAAACATGTCAGAGATGGCAACAAAATAACTGTACATTTAGAGCCAAGAGGACTTTTATGTTTGGTTTATATATTCTCACAGTTGAGCTTTAAGTCAGCTTCATTAAACAGATTTTTTTTCCCCCTGTAGTGCTGGGGTTTGAACTCAGGGCCTTGCACTTGCTAGGTAGGTGCTCTACTATTTGAGCCATGCCTCCAGCACATTAAGCAGATTTTTCTCTAAGCCTTTTTTACTAGTTATTTTTGACACTGTCATTTATTGGGGTTTTCTGCATAGGAGTAAAGAAACTTAATTTTGTGCACAGCTCTCTGATTTAGTTTTAATCTTACACTGACTCTTAAATTGGTTAAGTGCTTTAGTTTGTTTTTTGTTAATTGTAAAGATTAAAAGATACACACCTTGCTTTAGGCAGAAGAAGTGCTCACTTAGTTCACTCAGAGTTAGATAAAATAATTTTAAATGAACTAAGATACTCACTATCCAAGAGAACTCTTGAATTGAATCATTATATAATATGAAGAATCCTTTTTTTATATGAACCACTTCTTTTAATGAATTTGTTTTTTAGGTAACTATGTTTTTAAAAAAGGGAACCCATTACTATCAGAAACTTCATCATGTAGAGAAACTTGGTCCTAATGCTTAACTCTCTGGATAGCATGTAGGGTGCAGATGTTACTACAAGTCATATCTGCACTTCCATCAGGTCTCATACAGCCGATCAGGGTTAGTTCGAGGCATTCTTACTTTTCTTATTTTAGTTTCTTTCAGTTTTTTTTCCACAGAGTTTCCAAACTTTTAACATAATTTAGGAAAGTCCTATAAATACTTTCAAACACTGGTATCCTATCATAAAGTTTTTTAAAAATTATTTTAATAACATAATTGTGTTGGTCTTTATTGAAAGACTTTCCTTAATTCATTTGAAATGTATTTGGATTACTGCCTAATTATACCCACTTAGAGGCCTTGCTACAAAGTGCTCTGATTTTGGTAGGAGTGCTCAAGAACGCAATGCTGTCTTTGTGAAAAGAAAGCTTTGTTCCCTCTCTGGGACTGCTGACTTACGCCATTGTTTTGGGAGGTCACTCAATCTGCCTCTTCAGAATGTGGGCATATGATGTCATCATGGGATCTTGCAGGAAGAACCTGCAAGTACAGTGATCTCAAAAGTCCTTGTTGATGAAGGCTAGGTAAGGTTAGGTTGCTTTTACAATCAGGACTTATGTCATTAGCCTGAAGATTAAGTTTGTTAGCTAACAAAAAGCCTACACCTAGAGTCACTCCACCAGCCCTTTTTTTGTGATAGGTTTTTTCGAGGTAGGATTTGAACTATTTGTTTGGGCTGGTTTCAAACTGCAGTCTGTTAGCTAACAAAAAGCCTACACCTGGAGTCACTCCACCAGCCCTTTTTTTGTGATAGGTTTTTTCGAGGTAGGATTTGAACTATTTGTTTGGGCTGGTTTCAAACTGCAGTCTTCATGATCTCTGCCTCCTGAGTAGCTAGGATTACAGGCATGAGCCACTTCTAAATGAGATTGCAAACAATTTCCAAAACATTGATGTTCCTTTTGCTAAGAAAGTATACCTACTTCTCCATGAAGCCAAAGTCCAGAGTTTCTTTTTAAATTTATAATTTAGAAGTTATATATCTAAATTGTCTGAAAAAAATTATTCTAAATGGGTCTGTGTTACCTATTTCTTTTTGTCTCATATTTCTGACAGTTTCAGGGGTTTGAGCATCAAAATGTTTTTTGGGGGGCAGTATTAGAGATTGAGTTTAGAACCTCATACTTGCTAGATATGCTTTACCACTTGAGCCACTTCACCAGCCCTTTTTGTGTTAGTTATTTTTAAGATTGTGCTTCTTTATGCCTGGGCCAGCCAGAACCACAGTCCTCTTATTTGTGCTTCCCCGCATAGCTGGTATGGCAGGTTTTGAGACAGCAGGCCTAGCTGCAATATCTTTTTAGTGTTACTCACTTTGTTTAAGAAGCAGACATATAGCCATTTTATGTCTGCATTATGAATGCTGCCAGTATTCTTTATTTCTGAGGCATTAAATACTCTCTGTAGTAGTTATTTTAGTTGGACATTTCAGCCATTCACAAAAGGTTTAATTGAAGACTTTTTATTATTGCAGTAGTCCAAATACTGAGCTGCTTTCCCCTACCCCGTTTTGGCAGTACTGGGGTTTAAATTCGGAGCCTTCTGAGCAGCTCTTATTTTTTGAACAGCATGTCTTTGGTAATAATATTTCTCAGAGAAACTTACAAAGAAAATTTTGCAGTTTATGTACTATAAACCTTTTTTCCATCAAGGGAATACAATGTGTGTGTGTGTGTGTGTGTGTGCACACGTATATTGTGTACAATAGGCTTTATTTTTGTTTTTTTGGTGGGACTGGGGTTTGAACTCAGGGCTTCATGCTTGTACAGCAGGCACTCTACCAATTGAGCCATACCTCCAGTTCTGCATGCAATTATGTGTATCCAATTTTCAAGGAATTGTGATGTATTAATATTGGAGACATGTTTAACCTTTAAGATTCATGGTATTTTAGAATCTTGCACATAGTTTTTTTGCCCATCATTGACCATTCATTGTATTTGTGAAGCACAAAAGTGCCTGTCAGAGCTGTAACAGGTAGTGTCAAATAATAAAGAACTTATAGGATCTGCCTTCTTGTCGTAGTTTGGGCTACAATAACAAAAGATTATAGACTGTGGCTTATAAACAGCAGAAATTTTTTCTGACAGTTCTGGGGCCTGGGGAGTCCAAGATTAAGATAGCAGTTTTGGTGTCTGGTGAGAGCCTGCTTCTTTGTTCATAGATGGTACCTCTCACTGTGTCCACACGTGCTCAAAAGAGGCAAGAGAGCTCCTAGGTCCCTTTTGTAAGGACACTAATCCCATTCTGAGGTCTTCACCCTCGTGAGCTGATCACCTCCCAAGCGTCCCACTTCCTAGTACAGTCACATTGGGATTTCATGTTGAAATCCCCACAAGGGACACAAACACATACTGACTTTGTAACATTTTACCCCAGATTTGTTGCCATTTGAAATATAATTATTTTTTGTCATATTATGTAATAGGTGTCTAGAGCAGAGGTTAGCTTCCCCCACCCCTTCTTTCCAACCCTCATCTTTTTTTTCTTTTTGTGGGTGGTCCTAGGTTCTAAAGTTTGAACTCAGAGCTTTGTGCTTGTTCTTACTAGGTAGGTGCAGTCCTGCTTGAGCCACACCACTCTGGCTGGTTATTTTGGAAATAGGGTTGTACTTTTTGCCCAGGCTAGCCTGGACTGTGATCTTCCTATTTTAATCTTCCTGCCATAGCTGGGGTGACAGGTGCATGCCACCACACCTAGATTTTTCTGTTGATATGGAGTTTCACAAACTTTTTTGCCCATGTTGGCCTGGAACTACAATCCTCCTGATCTTAGCCTCCTTCCTAGATGAGATGACAGGCGTGTACCACTGTGCTCAGCTATTGGTTCAGATGAGGCCTCAACTACAATCCTCCTAATCTCAGCCTCCCTGCTAGGATTATAGGTGTGAGCCATTGTGCCTGGCACTAACCCCCAACTTTTAAAAATAAAAGACTATTAAATACATTGGGCTCTTTGGACCATGGAGTCTGTTGAAACTACTCATCTCTCCCATTTTAGTTTAAGAAAAAAAAAGCCATAGGCAATACATAAATGAATGAATGTTGATTTGTTCTAATAAAGCCTTATTTACAAAGCCAAGGAGCTGGCCAAATTGGGTCCGTAAACTATGTATTAACTTTCTGGCTCCTGAACTAGAATTTAAGGCGCCCTGTCTTATGTCTCCATATTAGTAGTAGGTAGTGCAGTGTTGGGAACTTGTTCAATTCATATTTGTTGAGTTAGTTTTGAATTAATAAGATTTTGCTGAGTTCCAGGTGAGGTGGCTCACTGCTGTAATCTCAGCTACTTGGGAGATGATTGGGAGGATTAATTAGGGCCCAATGCCAGGGAAAAAAGCATTAGTGAGCCCCCCTATCTCAACCAGTAAGCCAGATGTAGCGGTTCACTCCTGTAATCTCAGCCAGTAGGAGAATTGTGGTCTGAGGCTGGCCCTGGGTAAAAAGGTAGGTAAGACTTTACCTGAAAAATAACTAAAGGAAAACAAAAGATTGGGGGCTTGGCACAAGTGGTAGAATGCCTGCCTATTGAGCATGAGGCCCTGAGTTCAAACCAAAGTACCACCGAGAGAAAGAAGAGAGAGAGAGAGAGAGAGATTGCTTAAAGAATATATTGAAGAAACTCCTATTTTTGTCTAGAATGCATATTTCTGGTCCCGGTTTCTGTTTTCCCTAATCATTCTTTTTTTTTTTTTTTGGTGGTAATGGGCCTTGAACTCAGGGCCTCACGCTTTGCTAGACTTAGATAGGCAGAAGCTCTACTACTTGAGCCACTTCTCCAGCCCTCCCTAGTCATTCTTAACCCTAGCACTAACATTGGCAGTTTTTATTTTCTATCAAAATTAACATGTTTTGAAATAGAACCATAGTGGAAATAATCCAAATGGACCAACTAGTGAATGCATGAACAACTTGCAGTAGATATCTAGAATGGAATACTGTTCACCAGTAAAAAGGAATAAGCCACTGATCTATTTGACAGTATGGGGCTTCAGCCTCATTATAGTAAGCAGAAGAAGAAGAAGCTGGGCACAAGGACAATAGCCATGCAAGCTTGGGATCCTCCTGCTTCATTCTGCTTAGTGGCTGGGATTACAGGCATATTCCACCATGCTTGGTGACTCCATTTATGTGACTTTGTAGAAAAGATAAAACTGTAGGAACACAAAGCAGATTTGTATGATTAACTGCAGGGGGCTGGACAGTACAGGAGAACTTTATGGGATGCTGGAAATTTATTTTTTTTTGTCTTTATTGTTACATGGTATAAATGGTATATATTTGTCAAGGCCCATTAAATTATGTACTGAAAATTGGTGAATTCTGTTGTATGTAAGTTTTGCTTTAGTAAGGTCTTTACAAAGAAACAAACTAAACCTGTGTTACCACTGCATTATCAAACCCTAAACTTTAGGGGGAAAATAGTTGTTTGATACTTTAACTGAAAATTAATGCTATTTAAATTTTTTTAATTATAGAGACACAGCTGAGTTTCCCTGAAACTCTTGACCTGGAAAGAGACTCTCCAGGTAGTAGAGAGACCCTGGATGAAGTAAGGCCAATAATGGACAGTGAGGAGGTGAGTATTTTTCCCAGTCTTTTTTGTTTGTTTGTCTGTTTTTTCAGTGCTGGAGTTTGAAATCAGGGCTTCATGCTTGCTAGCCAGGCACTACCACTTGAACCACTCCACTGCCCTTTTTTTGAGATAGAGTCTTGTTTTTTTGCCTGGGCTGGCCCAAATTGCAATCATCCTGATCTCTGCCTCCTTAGTAGCTAGGATTACAGGCGTGAGCCACTGGTGCCTGGCCTCAGTCATTTCTCTGATACAGATCTTGGATGAAAAGATTTTAGGTTGTATAGGGTTTTTAGCTTTGGTGACATTTATTTCAGGGAGAAAGTTTCATAGTTAAGATCATTTCAGCACTGTGTCTAAAAATAACATTGGCTACCATTTCTTGAGTACTTTTATTATTATTTCTATTGCTGATGGGAAACAGGCTTAGTCATTGCACAGATTCCTATTTCTACTAACGATAGAACTAGAATTTGATCATGGATTTGTCTCTAAAGTTATAGAGCATTTTCCATTACACATAGACAAGTAACAGAAATAAAAAGTCTTGGAAAAAAAAATCACTATATAAAGAAATAACTACTTTTTAGCCCTAATTTCTAAATGTTACCAGAAATACAAAACCAACATAAAATATGCAAATCTGTATTTGCTTCATTATCTTTCCTAACTAACTTCACATATCTGGCAACAGATAACACTAATTGGTAGAAATTCCTACTTCTGATTAAGACTATTAGTGTGGAGCCAGGCCTGGTAGTGCAGGCCTGCAATCCCAGCACCCAGGAAGCTGAGGCAGGAGAATAGTGAGTTCAAGGCCAGCCTGGGCTACATAAGGAGACCCTTTCTCGTAAAAAAGAAGATTCTTAGTGTGTATTTTTTTCATATTGTGTCTGCACAGTATGAATTCTTTTAAAGAATTAAACTTTAAAAAAGAAATCTATTGTCATGAAAAGCCTCTTGAAAATTGAACAAACTTCTGTGGAAACAAAGATTTTGCTTATATTTGTGTTTACTGTCTTGCCTTAAGCACCTTCAAGGAGACTTAATTCTCCTTGAAGGAATTCTGATTCCTTGTAATACTCTTTAAGTTTTTTATGAAAATAGTTTTCTACAGTATAAGTTAGATTCATTCCCCAGTGTCTGCACTGCAGGTAGCGAGGCAGAAATTCTCCTTTCATGAATCATGCACAGTGCCTGGTGCCCTGGAACCTGATCTGTCACAGCTGACAGACCGAGACTCCCGGATGCCTGTGGTAGGAAGGACAGTGACTGTCCCTGCAGCAGAATACTGGGGACAGGAGGATAGATCCTGTTAGGTAATGTCAAGATGGCCTCTGGATCTTCGTCCCAGGAGGAAACAGAATCTTCTAAATAGGAACGGAGAACAGAGTGTTACTAACACAGCCATCTTGACACACAAAGAAGCCCTCCAAGCCTTTAGTTAGCTCATCAAGACTGATTTCTTACTCATCTGACTACAAAGGACAGTGTTCTTTAATAGAACATGAGCCATGTTCAGAATTTATAACATACTTGTCTACATTGCTGCACTTGTATACTTTCCCATAGTGGCAGACTTTCCCATAGTGACATACTTTCCCATAGTGAGCAGATGTTCCCATAGGTGACGGATTTTCTCGTAGTGATGGACGTTCCCATAGTGACAGACTTCCCATAGTGACAGACGTTCCCATAGTGAAGAGACATTCCTATAGTGACAGACGTTCCCATAGTGACAGACGTTCCCATAGTGACAGACGTTCCCATAGTGACGGATTTTCTCATAGTGACAAACTTTCTCATAGTGACAGACTTTCCCATAGTGAAGGAGTTTCCCATAGTGACGGACATTCCCATAGTGACAGACTCTCCTGTAGTGACAGACGTTCCCATAATGCATGTCCTCTTTTTACTGCTGCAGACTCTGGTATCTGTGGATGTCCCTAAGGTAGTCTTGAAATTTCCATTAAAAGAAGTTGAGGGGAGTGATGGAGTGGCTCTAGGGGTGGAATGCCTGCCTAGGAAGTGTGAGATCCGAGTTCAAACCCCAGTGCCGCCATGCTAGAGCCCTGCCCAGCATACTTGCCATATGAGGCTTGGGTTCATCTCGAGTGCCACTGCACAAATGTCAGAGATGGCATAGTTTAAGACACTGCGAAATCACTTACTAGTTGTAAGTCATTTATTAAAAAGGTAGAATTGAATATTTTATGTGTGAGATACAGATTCTTGTCCTTAGAATCTGTAAATAGGGTCATTTGTCCTAATTTTTTTGTTTTCTTTTGTACTAGGAAAGTATTCCACCACTGAATCATACCCCTGTCCTGTTTTACATTTTTGTTTTGAGGCAGGGTCTCTAGGTAGTCCAGACAGGCCTTTCTTTCTTTCTTTCTTTATTTATTTATTTTTCATTTTTCTTTTATTATTCATATGTGCATACAAGGCTTGGTTCATTTCTCCCCCCTGCCCCCACACCCCCTCCCTTACCACCCACTCCGCCCCCTCCCTCTCCCCCCCCCCTCAATACCCAGCAGAAACTATTTTGCCCTTATTTCTAATTTTGTTATAGAGAGAGTATAAGCAATAATAGGAAGGAACAAGGGGTTTTGCTGGTTGAGATAAGGATAGCTATACAGGGCATTGACTCACATTGATTTCCTGTGCGTGGGTGTTACCTTCTAGGTTAATTCTTTTTGATCTAACCTTTTCTCTAATACCTGTTCCCCTTTTCCTATTGGCCTCAGATGCTTTAAGGTATCTGCTTTAGTTTCTCTGCGTTAAGGGCAACAAATGCTAGCTAGTTTTTTAGGTGTCTTACCTATCCTCACCCCTTCCTTGTGTGCTCTCGCTTTTATCATGTGCTCATAGTCCAATCCCCTTGTTGTGTTTGCCCTTGATCTAATGTCCACATATGAGGGAGAACATACGATTTTTGGTCTTTTGGGCCAGGCTAACCTCACTCAGAATGATGTTCTCCAATTCCATCCATTTACCAGCGAATGATAACATTTTGTTCTTCATGACTGCGTAAAATTCCATTGTGTATAGATACCACCTTTTCTTAATCCATTCGTCATTGCTGGGGCATCTTGGCTGTTTCCATAACTTGGCTATTGTGAATAGTACCACAATAAACATGGATGTGCAGGTGCCTCTGGAGTAACAGTCTTTTGGGTATATCCCCAAGAGTGGTATTGCTGGATCAAATGGTAGATCAATGTCCAGCTTTTTAAGTAGCCTCCAAATTTTTTTCCAGAACTAGTCTACATTCCCACCAACAGTGTAAGAGGGTTCCTTTTTCCCCGCATCCTCGCCAACACCTGTTGTTGGTGGTGTTGCTGATGATGGCTATTCTAACAGGGGTGAGGTGGAATCTTAGCGTGGTTTTAATTTGCATTTCCTTTATTGCTAGAGATGGTGAGCATTTTTTCATGTGTTTTCTGGCCATTTGAATTTCTTCTTTTGAGAAAGTTCTGTTTAGTTCACTTGCCCATTTCTTTATTGGTTCATTAGTTTTGGGAGAATTTAGTTTTTTAAGTTCCCTGTATATTCTGGTTATCAGTCCTTCGTCTGATGTATAGTTGGCAAATATTTTCTCCCACTCTGTGGGTGTTCTCTTCAGTTTAGAGACCATTTCTTTTGATGAACAGAAGCTTTTTAGTTTTATGAGGTCCCATTTATCTATGCTATCTCTTAGTTGCTGTGCTGCTGGGGTTTCATTGAGAATGTTCTTACCTATACCTACTAACTCCAGAGTATTTCGTACTCTTTCTTGTATCAACTTAAGAGTTTGGGGTCTGATATTAAGATCCTTGATCCATTTTGAGTTAATCTTGGTATAGGGTGATATACATGGATCTAGTTTCAGTTTTTTGCAGACTGCTAACCAGTTTTCCCAGCAGTTTTTGTTGAAGAGGCTGCTATTTCTCCATCGTATATTTTTAGCTCCTTTGTCAAAGATAAGTTGCTTATAGTTGTGTGGCTTCATATCTGGGTCCTCTATTCTGTTCCACTGGTCTTCGTGTCTGTTTTTGTGCCAGTACCATGCTGTTTTTATTGTTATTGCTTTGTAATATAGTTTGAAGTCAGGTATTGTGATACCTCCTGCATTGTTCTTTTGACTGAGTGTTGCCTTGGCTATTCGTGGCCTCTTGTGTTTCCATATAAATTTAACAGTAGATTTTTCAATCTCTTTAATAAATGCCAGACAGGCCTTTAACTTGTGATCCTCTTGCCTTAGCCTCCCACCTAGCTGAGATTACAGTCATATACCACCACACCTGGCTAAAATTTTTTGCTTTTAAAAAGATGGTATGGAATTGTATGGGTGCTTATGCATTGATATTTGAAGACATGACTTTGAATTGAAGTCTTACCATTTGTGTTTTACTCATTTATTAGGCAGTCTTTTTTTTTTAACTCAAGGCCCTGTGCTTGCTAGACAGATGCTCTACCACTTAATCCACTCCACCAGTCCTTATTTGGCAGTCTTCATAGTTTGTGTACTTTATTCTACCTGTTGTTTTAAACCCTTAGCTGCAAAGGTGTAGTTAGAGGAGATGACAGACATATGTTAGTTATGTTATCTGACAGATGTTATGGTAGATTCCTAGGACATTAGGAGAGCACAGAAGTGGACTACTGCACCGAATCTCAGTCTTCATTCATAAAATGAGGTAAAATCCCTTTTTACTGGGTTCCTCTGAAGATTACATCACATAAGGAAAAGCAAACATACAGCAGAGATTATGCATGTGGAAACAGTTTTTTTTTGTTTTGTTTTTGTTTTTTATGGCTGCTTCAGTGATACTACCTTCCTAGTGGTGGGTACTTGCATGGTAGTGTTGAGGTGTGTGGAACACTCTGGTACAACTGTAGTCTCAGACTGGTACTCTGTTGTCAGAGGAGTTAAGATTTGTTCAAAGTAAAGCAGCTAGAGCCAGAGATGTGGCTGAAGTGGTAGAGTACCTGCTTTACAAGTATGAAGCCCTGAGTTCAAATCCCAGTCCCACCCAAAAACAAACAAAAATATTAAGGCTGCTTTGTTTAGTCATAAGTTTTTAAGTACATTGTGTTGCGTCATGTGGTAAGGGGACAGATCTAACTGAACAGCTGTCCAAGTTCACATGAAGCAGGCGAGGGAGGGGAGGGCTAAAGGGTTTGGATTTGTAGGAGATGTCTTTATTTTCACTGGATTTGTTTGTCGATGTGAGTTTTCTTTTGATGCCAGGAGATAAGGACCAACCCTTTAAGAGATTAAGATTCAGTGCCCGAGTACCACTTTTGAGAACAGCTGTATAGTATTTTAAGAGTAGAAGCAGCTGGACGCCAGTGGCTCACGCCTGTAATCCTAGCTACCCAGGAGGCAGAGATCCAGAGGATCGTGGTTCAAAGCCAGCCCGGGCTATGAGACCCTATCTTGAAAAAACCCATCACATAAAAAATGGGGACATAAAAAAATGACTCAATGTGTAGGCCCTGAGTTCAAACCCCAGTACTGCCAAAAAAAAAAAAAAAACGAGTAGAAGCAGCTCTTTGAAGATCAAATCCCTGACTACACAGCCCTAAGAAAAGCTACTTTACTTGTATTATCCCCCACTGAAGCTCTTCCATAGTGTTTAATATTTAAATAGACCTTATTAATGGTACTAGGAAAAAATGCCTTCTTTTTAATATAAAAATTTTCAGAAACCTGGGTTGCCTGTGAGTGTCATTGGAAGTAGTTTCCTCTCACAGTAAGACAGTGATGGGAAGATAACTTCCTTGTAGGTACGTTAGTAGTCTCAGAATCAGTGAATACGAAGGAACACGTGTGTGAGCACCAGTGACGTTCATGTTATCTGACATCTCTGTGCTTAAGAGAACTTTAGAACTTCAACCAAGTAACTTCAGTCACCACTCTTTCAGTAATTCAAGACTGCTTGCAGATTTTAAGGTATCTTGACTTCCCCTCTCTGCTCATATAACTGTCTGTACAATACAACTTTTTCTTGTAAGATTTATGATCAGAGGAGCCCAGCTTTGTGAGAAGCTCAGTGACTAAACTTGGAATTAACAGCACTTAGAACTTCCACATCCACTTTACTCTCCCTGTGTCCCACAGAAGATAAAAACCAGGTGGTCTTCCAATCCCTGCAGGATCAGCTTCTAGAAACAAATTGGAAGGGAGGCTTTTTGCTTCTGCCACAGCATGATAGGATGAAAATACCAAAGGTTTTTGATGTGAGACAGTTGTGAGTTTGAGTCTAGATCACTCACTTACTAGTTTTGCACTTAGTAGATTACTTTGCCTTTCCAGGCCTCAGTTTCCACTTCTGTAATACTGGAGCTAGTGGTACCTCTGTGTAGTAGTTGGGTTGTTGTGAGGAATGGAGATGGAAAATGCCTGGTAGAACCTGAATATAGAACTCAACCACTGATAGAGTTCCTTTCTCATCTTTCTATATTTAGCAAAAGGCAGGTGTGTTGAAAACAGGATATTTTCTGGCAGTTGTGGAAACTGTTCGACTTGCTGTTTAAATGGACTCTTTCCCTCTCTGCTGGATCACCTCACAAATAGTAGATTTTAGGGATGGCCAAAATATACAGAGCAAAACCAAAACACAAACAACAGCAACAGTAATTCCTCTAACTGACTTAGAAATTAAATTATGTACCCATTGCAGTTGGGTTTAGTTTTTTTCTTGTCTTGGAAGAGGATTTATTTTTCCCTCCATAGTAAAGTGTAATGACAGCACAGATGCTCCTTTCTCGTGAATGAAAGCTGTGGCTGCACAGGGCAGTTTCACATCGATTGGATAGGACACACTGTCCTCTGAAGCATGTGTTAGGCAGTGGTTCTGCAGTGCTTATATGTGCAGTTGGATTAATCACTGCAGAGTTCTTGGTTCTGACTGACCTGTACCAGTAACATAAAACTGCCTCTGAGAGTCACTGGAGACTTGAGGAGAAATGATGGCTATAAAACAAACACTGAGAGCAGACGAGAGAGAAGGTTTGAGAGTGGCTTCGGCAGAACTGATCATTTTAACTAAAGGCATTTCTTTGTGTCTTTAAATATTTGGGTCTCAGTTTCCTCTTTCAATCCAAAAAGTCACAAAGAAGTCACAAGAGGTCTTACATCATTTTAGTCTAAGCATAGACCCCGTTTCTTAAGTCCTAGTTGTGTTACTTTTGGCTTAGAGCTCTTTTGTCTTAGAGTCATAGTGATCAGAGTTTTATTGTGAGATTGAAAAAGTATCTTTAAGATGGTGTTCCTATGCAAAATGTGATACATCCAGACACAGTACTCTTTTTACACAGTAAGAATTGTGCCTTACAGTGTGGGAGAGGTCCGTGCCTTCCAAATTTGGAGCCAGATTGTCCTTGGTTTGAATATCAACTTTGCCACTTGTTTGTTTGTGACTTTGTGCAAATTGCTTTACTGTTTTTGGACAACATTCTTCTTATGTGTAAAAAGGATATGTTAATACCTTTATAAGATTGTGGGGATTAGACGAGTAACATGTAGTGCTTAGTGTATACAGTAAAGTGTCTTATTCACAGATATATTATATGGTTTTGCCTAAGCCTGATAAAAAATAATAAATTTTTAAAAATCAAAAGAAATGTCAAAAAGACCAATTTTAAATTCCTATGCACACATTACCGAGAAGCTCTTGGTCCCACGTTATTGTCAGGTGTGTTTAAATCATTGTGTAGTCTGCTGAGCATTTCTCTGCCCATAACTTTATGAAAAATCTGCCTCCAAAAAAGCAGTGGTACCCAAAAAGCAAGACAAAAGTGAATGTGCTTAACTTAAGTGATAAAATGAAGTCTTTAGATTTGTTGAAAGGCGGCATTGTGGGAAAAATGAGTCAAACATCCACAGTACAACACTGAGGTCTATATGTCTTGAGCAGTCATACGTTTTCCTCAACACCAGTCTCTTTGCAACCATATAGCTGTGGATGCCAGGGGTCTACTACAGTTGTCAGGCACTGAATAAATATTACCTAAAGTATTTCCCAATCCTTGGTCCTGAATTTGCTATAAACTGATCGGTATAGTCTCTCCTGAAAGTAAATGGGATGTAGTCTCTTGCAGTTCTTTGAGGGAAAAGTTACTTTATGTACTAAAGCTGTTCAAATTGCCATTTGCTATGTTCTTCAGGCTGATAATGGGGAAGGTGCTGAGAAGGAAACGCCTGCTTCTGTCTTCTCATCCAGTGCCCAGGTGTCTTGCCCACTGTGTGACCAAGGCTTCCCACTCACAAAGATTGAGCAGCATGCAATGTACTGCAATGGTGTGAAGGAGCAAGGTTCAGGTAAGGGCTCACCAGGGCATCCGGGTTCCCACCTTTCTTTGTGTGCTGGTCTTGTGATCCTGTGCAGTACAATGCAGGGGAAGCAGACTGCTCTTTGTCAAAGTTAAAATTGATTAGCGAAGTAAATTAGTAATTATTTTGGCCGTACTGGAGATTGACTTCAGGGCCTCATGCTTGCTTGCTTGCTTGCTGGGTGGGCACTCCATCACTTGAGCCACTCTCCAGCCCTTTTTGCTTTAGTTATTTTTTGGATAATGTCTCGAATTTTTGCCCAGGGCCATCTTCAGAACATAATCCTCCTACCTAGGCTTCCTTTGTAACTGGGGTTACAGGGACCTACCACCACTTCTCTCACTAAATTTTTGCAGGGGCTGCCCTTGAACCACAGTCCTCCTTATCTCTGCTTCCTGAGTTGCTGGGATTACAGGCATGTACACTCAGCTTGTTTTCTGTCTATTCAATGTTCTAGTCCTTCTGTGTGCTTTATTATTGTTTAGCAGATATACTACCTTGTTACATGTTCCTCAGGAGAAGGTGAATGGAAAGTCTTTCCTTCTTTTTATTGTTTCAGCTTACTCTTTGCAGTAGGTAGGCCAAATGCCAGTGCAATGCAAAAAATCAGGCATTTCAACTTACATGTTCACATACTGATACTCCTGTGGAACTTGAGAAACTAGGTGTTACAGTTGCCCATTTTTCATTCAAAATAAGTCTGTTGTGGTTTATTTTAATAGAGTTTCTACCTAGAGACCATTAGCTGCTGAAAACTATCCCTAGTCTGTATTCATGTCCAACGTGTCTCTGCTCAGTTACCCTGGAGCTATTGTTTTTTTTTGTATACCAAAAGCTATAGTATTGGTACAGTGTGAGATATTGACCAAGAAAATCTTGTTAATCACCACCCTGATCCTGCCTTTCTATTGTGATTTTAGCCTCTGATCACAATAGCGTCAGCATAGGTAGCTTTGGTAGCTCTCAGCTCCATCACACTGACTGCAACTATCACATAACTGAGAGTTGTAGTGCCACCTATTTCCATAACCTCAGTGTGTTTGTTTACTTATTTGTGTATGATAGTTGTATAGGCAGGATGTTTTGTGACATTTACATTTGTGCTGATAATAGTATCTTAATGAGATTTACCTCCTCCATCATTTTTCCTCATAGCCCCCCTTTCTCAGAACAATTTCAATAGGTGTCATTGTTCTATTTTCATACATGTATACAAAATAACTTGGATGTATTTAAAGCTGAACTTGTGTAATTGTGAAGTACTTTCTAAGTTAAAATTGCCAGGGTCAACCATGGCAACTTACTTCTGTAACCCCAGCTATTTGGGAGGTGGATATCAGGAGGATCATGGTTCAAGGAGAGTCCTGCCAAAAAGTTTTCAAGACCCCATCTCAACAAATGAGCTGGACATGGTGGCATGTACCTGTAACCCCACCTATGTGGGAGTCATAGGTAGAAGGATCACAATTGTGAGACCCTATCTGAAAAATAACTAGAGCAAAAAAAGGGTTGAGAGTGGCTCAAGTGATAGAGTGCCTGCCTAGCAAGTGTGAGGCCCTGAGGTCAAACCCCAGTACTACCTAAATGAATGAATGAATAAAACTGCCAGAAAGAAGGGACATGTTATTTAATTTTCCTGAAGTAATATATGTCTTAGTGGATTTTTTCTCTGTTTAGTTTTTGGGCAGTATTGGGGATTGAACTCAGGGCTCTTATGCTTGCAAATGCTCTTATCACTTGAGTCATGCACTAAGCTCTTTTGCTTTTGGTTTATTTTTCCAGATAGGGTCTGTGCCTCCTAAGTAGCTGGGATCACTACATGGTGGTGTGCACCACCATGCCTACTTTGTTTTAGCCACAATCCTCCTTTCTCTGCCTCCTGATTAGCAAGAAAGGACCAGCCACCACTCCCAGCTGTCTTAGTTATTAAATAAGGAAGTACCTTAATTTATAACTTAATAAGTACATGTATATAAGATAATAATAATAATAATGAAATGAGTTACATTTGTTGAATACTTAAAATGAGCCAGGCACTATTTACATGGAACCATGATATATGTATATTTTTCTGCGTTTTGCCTTGTCCTGTTTTCCTTTTGCAGTACTAGAGTTAGAACTTAGGGCCTTGTGCATGCCAGGTTGCTGTTTTTGTTTAGCAAATTTAGAACTTTCTACTATAGATACACTTTTTTGCATAGTTGAGATCTGACTAAAGTTTTATATTCTGCTATTTTTATTGACAGCATAAATTTCTTCCATCTGACTAATTAAAAAGTTGTTTGTAAAAATATTTTAATATCTATAATCTATAATGCCTCCATTTACTTAAGTATTGTGTATTTAGAGCCCTTCAAGTTGCCAGTTACACTGACATGCCACCGGGCCTGTCATGCCTAGTGTTTGGCTAAATTGGGGCTCTTTCCCAAGGGAGTGCTCCTGGCATGGGGTGGAGTTAAAAGCTGGACTCTGGAGCCCAGCCAGCTTGAGGTGGAGCCCCGCCCACCACTTAGTAATATGTGACTTGTTCATATTTCCAGCCTTCCCTTTGTGCATCTGTCAATTTGTATTAACTAGCTGATTTAGGTTTGTGGTTAAATGAGACATTTTAAGGAAGGGATTGACACAGTGCCTACCTAGTACATAGAGTAAGGACCTAAGAACTGTTAGCTAATGTTATTCCCCATAGTGAAATTTCTAAGCCAAAGATTTTGTGGTCATTTAAAGGCTCTTATACATAGCATTGTAGGGGTTTTGTTGTTGTTTATGAGAATGGGGTTTGAATTCAGGGCTTTGCATTTGCAAAGCAGGTGCTCTACCACTTGAGCTGTACCTCCAAGCTGTTTTTTGAAATCTAATGAAAGCCGAGGACCCATACCCGACCATCAATTCCATGTCCTTCCATTGAAGAACCTGAGGACTGGAGGCTAGATGCAGTTTAATTTGACATCGCTCTTTAGTCTGAGTTTTCAGTTGAGCATTCCAGTGACTGAAAAGAATTCTGAGGCTGCACATTTGGCGACCATTGAGGGAAGAGATTATCTTGTCTGTCTCACCAAGCATACACAACTGGTGTGTTACCTGTGCCAGTGACTTTCTCACCCCGAGGTCCAGAAATAAATGAGTTGTAGAAGCTGAAGTCCCTTTGAGTTCTAGGTTAGAATTATTAGGTAAGATGTAATATAGGGTAACTTACTGACATCCCATACTGAAGCTTTGGTTTTGTTACTGTCAGATACCTTTCAGCTCTACATGATACTTGCTTTTAAGACTTTTCTTTACCTGTAGTATAGTGGGGAAACTATATAGCCCCAAATACTTGTTGTTCATTTGGGTTTGTATCTGAATTTTCTCAGACTAGATGTAGACTTATGCTACCAGAACCAGGTTGTTCTCATTCAACTTTTTAAGCTTACACCATCAGTTGGGCAAATAGACTGAGCCTGATGATCCCCATCCATGCAGAGAGTCTTTCAGGGTCCCCTTATTCCACTGGGTCCAGGGCCAGTGACCCTGTGTATTGCTGATGCAATAGATTTGCATTCTGGGTCTGTGAACTTGCAGACATTATAGATGAAAATGTGTTTTCTGATATAATAGGAAGTCCTAATATTCTTGGTACCTTATGACGACACTTCTGATCCTAATATCTCATACCTCTGTCTGAAAACATCTGCTGTATCCTGAATGACAGTCAACACTTTTTCATAGGGACATTGTTTCAAGCTATTCAGACTATTACATTCTTCTTTTCAATGCCAACTTGTCTACCTACAACCAGAAATTTGATTTCTTTCCTACATCCTATTCCTATATACTTTTAATTCATCCAAATACTTATGGAACACTTGTTTTTTTTTTTTTTTTTTAATGGCAGTAATCCTTATGCAGATTACTGATGCAGTTTAAGACAAGATTTCTGTCATTAAGGTGCTTGCAGTCGCATTGAGGAACTAGGTCTTTAACTAATAAATTAATTACAAAATGATACAAAGTGAATGGTTTATACCCAAGTGAATGTCCCTGAAAATAAGTGTAATGGGAGAGAGAAGTGCAGTGAACTGGGTGATGTTCCAGTGGAGGTGGGCATAGCTGGACTATGGAAGCTGGGTAGGTTTAGATAAACCCATAGGAAGGCAGAGAACCATTGACCTTCCTGTTGATTTAGATAAGATAGGCAGACAGCCTCTAGTCATCAGCTTCCTCTTAATATTTCTAATAGTGATAGGTTGCTAACCTGTATCACCCTCTCTGGTGTCATTCAAGGATCCCCGAGAGAGTATGGAATAGGGAATTCTCACTGGAACCACCCCACAGTTTGTTTACTCCTCTGATTACTTGGGAACAGAGTTTGGAGGTATCAGTAGGCTCAGGAAGTAGGGGAATTAATTATGTGAAGCACCTGTTAGTGTGGGTGGCAGATAGTAGGTCCTCAGTAAATCTTAATCCTATCTGCTTGCCTGTCTCTTGCCAGAGACAGAAGTTAGTGATTGTTTCTTATTGTTCTCAGATTTAAGGCTAGAGATGGAGACCAGGCCTCCAGCCTAATTTCTAAATCAGTGGTAGAAGGTGACTTCTCACATAACCTAGGCCGAAGACCATTAGCCCAATTCCACAGGGGTGGAATAGGAGTGGTCTTACCTCCCAGAGTTAAATACCCAGCTTTCTCCTCCTTTCTGTTTTCCCCAAAGCTGGTCCTAGACATGCTTGGTTTGGCTGTGTAAAAGAAATAGTAATTAGAGTCATTTACATGAAGTGTCTACCATTTATGCTACTTACCGTGCAGCACAATAACAATTATGCATATCATTAAATATGTGTCTGATTAACTTTACTGTAAGTTTTATTTGATTATAATACTACATTCTGGTTAAGTTGGCTTGTCTGCTCAGTTTGCTGAATGACATGGCTAATCAGAATTAAGAAAAAGTAGAGGGAGTGTTCTTTAAAGGATAAGATTTGCTAAGTTGATCTTGACTGAAACAAAG